TCAATTCCTTGAACAATCCTAATATGCATATAAAACAGGATACTTAACTGTTCATTCACTAAATCTAACTCCTTGTATGAGTATTTTTGCTTCTTTGTGGTACAATGACCACCATCTTTGTTGTCATTGGTAGTTCAACCTCTGGTGTAGTAATTGCCATGTAGTATACAGAAATTTCATGTTCAAAAACTGTGAAGCTAGCCTAACCTCACATCCATGTCTCTGCATGAAGCCCCTTCCAAATATGCACTCTTCCTTAATGTCAATTACCCCACATACTATGAAGTGTAGAGAAGCTTCCTACAATAAGGATAACTATAAACTTCCATCTGAATTCCGTAATCTTCAGAGAAGAAAACCACCGTTATTAAAAATAATTTTTAATCTAGTGACTGGGGCATAGTGGGACCACAAATTTTCACATGTCATTAAGAATTAGTGTTCGAAAGAGCTCTCATGGATATGAAGAACAAAGATGTCATACATCACTATACTGAAGAAAGACATATATCAGCTTATGATAAAACAAAAAGTCACTATGATGTTAATGCTGATAACACTGAATTTCATCAGGGTGGTATGGTATGGTTAAACAGTTCTCATCACGAAAGAGGATAAACTCCAAAGTTATGTAGATGTTTGGAAGGTCCATACATCACACTGAAAATAATCCATCATGTGGTTTACAGATACTAGAAAGACAGGTGATCCAAGCCAAAGATCATCTACCATGATCACATTGGCATTTTCAAGAACTAGAAGAACTTGTGTCCTTCAGTAGTGGTTCCAAAATATCAGTCTGTGAACCAACACTGGCTCATATGGAGATTTCAGCCAGTCTACAAGACAAGCAATAGATTCATTCAATGGGAATTGAAGTTTAATGATGAACAACAGGACAATGGTAGCAACAACAAACATTTGACACGTGATGTTCAGTAACAAACATTTAATTCTTGAATGTTTCAGAATATACATATTCCATCGTCAGCAAGCTATATTAAACATGGTACACCTTAATGTGAGGGAAGTGTGTATTAAGGATCATTGGTGCTTTGACATCTGGTGAGTCTGAAACCAGATGAGGCTGTCTGTACAAAACTGCTAGCTCTAGTTGAAACCACCTTTGAAATAGCAGAATAAAACTAGAAATGTATTAGTAGACAATATCTACCCAAACAAGAAGAGAGTGGATCATGAAGCAGCAATGAGCCTCCACAAGCTAGGAAGTATATTACTGAAATGAACATGATATAAAGAGGAGTATGGGATCCAATGTAACCAATAGACAAGCAACCTAGAGCACCTCATTGCTCTATCACTGGATCAGGAGCCTACCACTTATCAGAGAATTGGGACCCCTGAGAGTTCCTACTATGCTGTACCAATAATGTCATGAACATTTTAGTCAGGAGATGACTGGGAAGTTGTAAAGGAGAGTTTCTGGCAATATTTACAGATCTCTGCAACCAGATAACTGTCAACATTTAAAAACACAGCAAATAAAGACTTGGACTGTTTCATGAAGTGTTTGAAACAGGTAACCCGGTATGGCTGAACTCGGAAGTCTACATTATATCAAGCATTTGAATGAGGAGCAACTCGGGGACTGTGAGACATTCATTACCAATTTGCACTAGAGGTTTATCCTGGTGGAAAACAGAGCAATTCATTGAGCTGAATTTAAGGCTTGAAAGAACAAGTGCCACTGAAAGCTTGACTGTGTATGCAAATGATCTACCCCATTTGCATGGTAAAACTCAGCTTACAATGGCCTCAGCAGGTGGTGAGGATATCCTTACCACAAGTTTGTGGAGGGGCTAACCAGCAAGATGATGCAGCAACAGTTTAGTGTGAAAGACCTACTCACCCTCATTGAAGCAATTTCTGTTGTGACATGATAACCATGTAGTAACTGTGGGTCAGTCCCAGAAGCAGAAAAGCCTGTAGCAGCAGTTGCAGTGACTTAACCTCGTTCTATCTAGGCACCTACATCACACCAGGTTTCAATCCAATTAAGGGTTAATCAACCACCCATATATCCATTGTGATGCAGCCACACTGGGCATAGATATCCTGGTCTTCTCATAGTTTAGATGTTGCTTAAATCTCTGCCCAGACGTCATCCTGGAAGAGAAGAGCAAAGCATATGCTTTGCCTGTAGAGAATTGGATCACTTTTGAGTGAACTTTTCTTACCTAGACAAGGCTGTTAGTTTTGATTGATGGTGCAACAATTTTAGAACAGCCAACAGCAGGCAGTGAAAATTGCAGCTGTAGGAAATTAGAATAACCCAAGTTAGGTCTGGCCATCAACTTGGAGAAATGAAACTAACAGCATGCACCAAAAAGGTGTGGTGGCCAGCCCAGTTCTCTCAGAGTCGGGTGAGTCTCTGTATATGCCTGTCAGGATACAAGAACAAGAGTAGAGTTCCTATTTGATACAGGAGTGGCCAAAACACTTGTAGATCTCGTGGAATATCAAATGCTCTGAACAAAAACACCAGACCTATTGACAAACTTCCTCCTGGCAATTGAAGATAAACTAAGTATGAATGTAGTAGTCATTCTCCAACTATAGTTAGGAGGGTTTGCTTTCAGAAAGAAGATAGTCATCTCCAACATTGATTCTGGTATCAGCATTTTTGGAATGGTTATACTGCAGAGCTTATCAGTCATTTGTGCTTGTGCAACAGTTGAACTGATGTTCCAAGGTAGAGTTATCTAATGTCAGCTATGTGAACCCAAAGAATACTGAGCTGGATGAGTATATTTGGGAAAAGAAGTCATATTTTTGGCTGTTTTAATATGAAAATTGTATATTAAATGGTTTAATGTTATGTGTGCTATTATCTCCCGATTCATGTTAGAATAAAATGGTATTGTAAAGAAGGTTATTTCTATCTTTAATCAGCTTATTACTTGGTTTTGTTCACTAATTTTGGGGCATCAAGATAATAGGAAGGAGCCAAAGAAATGCTTCCAAAGAGAAGTAAGTTTGAACAACAGATAAGCAATAGTGCTGAAGTTGTAGTTGTTGGGGGTTAACATTAATAAGACATGTTGACATGGATGTCTATAATGCTAATAGAAATATAAGATCTATATTCTGCTTTCATGAAGCTGGGGCAATATGCAAATAAACAAACTACATAAAAAAGCTAACAGTGATGTCATGACTGTATGAATGCAACCACACCTAACTTATTGACTGAGGTGTTGAAAAGAATGAGTTTATCTAAATGCACTAAATCTTGTTTTCACTTAAATTATTGGTAACAAACCTAACAGTGCAATCAAATTAAACAAATGTATATTTGGTTTGTTTAACATATATTATTTACTATCCAAAGATATAATTTACATACATTTTTATGCACTGTTAGCTATGAACATAAATGATAGGATAATGTAAATTTTTTTCCAGAATAAGTTCATGCCAATCAATGTCACAAGACAAGGCTTATTTATTCAGTCAAGGTATGAGAACAACTTCATAAACTGAGTGACATCATGAAATGAGAGTGCACTGCTCAACGTTAAAATTGGTTGAATGCTACGATAAGGTACGATTACTGTTATTAATTGTACCACAACTGTCAGTGTAGCCTGTCGCATAATCCACATTTCATTACAGGAAAGTGAAGAAAACATTGTATGTTCTCAGTTAACAGTTTCTAGACCAGCAGTGCATGTAAATGAGATGAATGCTATTTAACAAAATGTGTTTGATGTAACCAGTATGCCTCAGCTTCGCAAATGAATTAATATAATGAAAAAAAATTTTCTTTATCTTCCAAAACCAAACTATCATTTTCAAGGACCTAATTTACTTAGTTTTAACATATGAAAACTTCACATCAAAATTAAATAACTAATGTTTAGTCATATTTTATTTTTTAAAAAACTAGCTGAAGGTGCCCATTAAGAAAGCAAAAATTGTATAAAGGACAATGTTCTACTTCCTTCTCTCTTTTGCTTTAAACATCTACTGATCTCATTAGATGCTAATTGCATATCTTGTTTTGTGGAAGGTAATAACTGAATCATTTAATAGATTAAGTACTCATGTTTTTAAATTCAAAACTAAAAGTCTATAAAAAGTGAAAATATTCTGCTTTGATCAGAGCTAAAATCTCCTCTTTTCATGTAACCAAAGCCAAATAATATTTATTGAATATATTATTTTAACTTGCCAATATGATAACAAGTCAAGTTGTACCAGATTCACTGCTGAATATACATCAGCATGACAATAATGCAAAAATTCACAATCATACGGTTACTTACAATACTCATATTGTTACTCAGTTTGATGCTGCAATACCACCCAAGAAACTGGAAACATTGTGGGTCAATAAAACCTTGATAGTTCAATGTGGTGTTCAGCATATAAGTTTTCTTGAATGATATTTAAAATAATAACTTTCTGAACAATTTCATTTATTGCCAAAGGTGTAATAGGATATGATTATTACAAGTGAAATCATTAACCATTTTTTTAGCAATCTTATTAATTAAAAAAAAAGAACACAAAGAGACAAAATGATATTAAGAACCTACATCAGTGTGTTTGGTCTTTATTTTCCCCAGAATACTTAGTAATGGGATCCAAATGTTACTTAGAATATCCCAGCCTAGATTGTTCAATATATAAATAACCTAATCAATTTATGTAGTTATATTTGGTGACTCATAATACTTTATTTAGTGTTACATTATTTACGTTCACCACACAACAATTGCTACATGCAAATAACTAGTTCAAAAATAATACTGTTGCATTTAACTTGGTAGATAAAAAAAATTGTTGGTTTACCCAAAAATCAAAACATGAATATGATAGTAATAATCATTAACTGATTTACAATTTTTTTATATGTGAAACTGTGTTTATACATTTTGTATTATGACTATTAAAAAACAATATTGACACATCTAGACAAGTTTGAAATAAATTATTATATTCATTAAAAACTGTACATGTTTTTAAAGTGAAAAGTAATATATGTATATTGACATATAAGGGGCAACTTCCATTCTCAGTTTTTTCACATTTTATTATTACAATCCACTTTCTATATATACATTATATTTTATTGTTCTCAAAGTACTTATACACCTAAGATTGTTTTTACATATTCCCCTTCATTTCCCATCTCTCCTTGGCATCAAACCTGCAAAACAGGGAAAGTAAGCTTTATATCATATAAAAAAAAAAAAAAGAGAAACTGCACTAAACCAATAAAAGATAATGCTACCATTCTTCAGTGGAGAAAAATAACGCTTTAAGAGAGTTTAGACACTATATATATGTTTCAATTTAGTTTTTATTATTTTACTTTCTAGTCAAAATTTTGGTTTGACTAAAAGATGTTAAAAGTATTAGATACTGAAATGGAATTTCAGTTTACAAAAATACAAACCTGGATATGGTTTTTAAATTAGCAAGTTTATGTAAAGTAGCCATTGAAAAATCTTGTACCTTGTTTATAAACTTGCAAGTTTTTGCATTTTTAAGGAAGAAGTTGTATCAATGGACCTACATATCTAAGTTGATATGATTCAGGTTCTCCCGAGCTATTACTTTGATATTTATACATGAATGGTTAGTTATTTTACTGAAATATAGAACAGTTTATGTAAACTGGGATTCTTCTGTATGACTATGTTTTCCTTTAGCTGAGGAATAGTGTCTTGAGTTTTATCAAAGGCTTTCATTTTTCTTTTGTAAAAATGTTGTCTGATTAGTTAGCAATGACTTTTCTGCTATTTTAACAAAAAACTAGACCTGTTGTATATTTACAAACAAAAAATGGTATTCATTCAGCAACGATATCAGAAATTATTTATTGTCAATTTTAAAATAAATAGAATGTGACTTACAATTTTATGTGATTTGTATGTTTGTAGAATCAATATAATGACTGATCATTAGATGTGTAATTTGCATAAGAATAAACTGAGAGGGTGATCAACATAATTTTTCCAACTATCTTTTTATGTAATATGCTACGAATTTAAATGTATGGTGAGTAGTGAAGCTTTGTGTTATATTTTTGACTCTGTGCTATCACAATAATGAAAAATGATATACAACCAATAAAAAAATGCACTTTATAATCTTACCCCCAAGACAACTTTTTGATTCTTTTGGCTCGTGCAGTAGCTTCTTCTTCAGCCTTCTTTTCAGCAAATCTCTTGGCAGCAAAAGCTTGAACTATCTTTACAGAAAACTAATATAATGGAACAACAATTAAAGAACAGATGTAAGAACTGTAAAACAACAGTAATTATTACATAATTTTCTCCACGAATCATTTCATTTCACTGTCTGTTATTTTGTGTTTTCCCTTACTCATAAACATAGATAAATCTATAATATACTAACACTATCAAGTGGTTATACACATATCAAACATAATGAGGCTGACAATAACAC